TGTCCCTGCCGCTGCCCCGAAGGTGCAGAAGTGGGTCTTGTGCTGTGTGGTTCCAGCGGGTAAATGGCACAAAAGGCCGCTGGTTGGGTGCACACTGACACCGTCACACCTGGTAGTACACCTGCAATTCCTTCCTGGAACAGTAAAACAGAGAGTCAGGTTCCCTGAAAAGCGCTTCCCCGGTTGTCGTGGCAGTCGTAACGGTTTCCAGCGAGCCTGCCAACGCTGGGTATCGCTGTTGTGTGGGCCTGTGCGTTTAGAACTCCCGTGGCTCCAAAGGAGCAGCTGTCTGAAGCTGACCTGGGATTTGTAACCAAAGGCTGGGGCTGTCTCGGGTGTTCGCTGCACTTGTGCTCTGGAAGGGTGGGAGTTATCAAAGCCAGACTGGTGTGGCACCAGCCGAGCTCCGTCCTGTTGACCGATTCCATGTGTCGCCCTTAGACGGAGCAGCCGCAGACCCACAGCGAGAGACGCGCTCTCCTGCCCATCGGTTCAGGCGCCAGCCTGCAGCGCGACCTCCAGTTTCGGGCACGCGCTCCCCACTTGTGCGCCCTTTGGCCGGCAACGGCAGAGCTCCCATCCAGCACATCCAGCCTTTGACAGGCCTTTTTCTTCCCTTAAGGAAACGGAGGAGCCTGTAGTGGAGTGCCAGGAGTGCGAGACTGACATGTCCTCTTCTAGAACCGCAGCGGGCTCATCGCTGACCTCAGGGGACCTTGGGGATGTCAGCTCCTTCTCCTCTAAGGCCTCAAGCCTCCACCGTCCGTCCAGCGGAGCAAGCCGCGGTCACTCTGCCGCGCACAGCAGCAGCAGCAGCAGCTCAGGGCAAGGGACCGGAGCTGCCAAGGGGCGAGTGTGTGGGACAGAAACCGTGGAGTTTGCGTTACCCACTGGCAAAGGCGCCTTAGGAAAACTAAGGTACGTGGGAAGGGAGAATGTTGGGAAGGGAGAGAAGTGGAGTGTGCAGCAGGGCAGACCCTAAGTCAAGAATTTTCTGGGAAGGATCTGGCTTGATGAGCGGGAGCGAGGGGATGGTCTGGGCTGTTCCGAAGGAGCTGTGCGTTTCCCACTGAGGCGCTGTTCTCCCTAAGCTTTTTCCGCTCGAGCAGCGATGAGGAAAACTTCTTGAGCGGTTGTGAGATCGCAGAGAAAACTGGGGGCCCTAAAGAGCCGGCGTCTCTTTTCAGAAGGGTTAACCCATGAATTCTCCAGCCCTAGGAAAGGAGCCGCTCAGCCGGCATCTCCGCTCAGAGCTGGCCAGACAGGAGCACTGCCTTGTGAGGAGGAGGAGGACTCTGCGCCTGGCACTCGTCAGGGTGGTAGAGCACCCATGACACCTCGCGGGCGAGGAAGAAGAGGCCGCCCACCATCTCGAGCAACAGGAACAAGGTACCCTGGGAAGAGGAGCCTGTAGCTCGATTTTATGGCCAAGGAGGAGGCTGGGGAGCTGCTGGCTTAAGGTGTCAGAGCAGAGAGTGAGCGTTCCAGGAGCTCGGCTTTGGTGGCAGCAGGTGCCAGCCGCAGGCATCTTGCCTGTGTTCTCTGTTGAGTAACTGTTTCTCCCGCGGCTTTTCTCCTCCCTGCAGAGATGGAGCTGGACTGCTGGGCGTGGAGGATCTCTCAACTACGGCATCACCTGAGGAGAAATCCTTCACCCGTTCCGTTCGCCTGCCAGATGGAGGGGAGAAGCCGGACACTGCTGGCCTCTGCGCCTTGCGGCGAAGTGACTCCCCAGAAATCCCGTTACAAGGGGTGACTGCTCCTTCAGACTGTGCGGACTCATCCTCTGGGAGCAGCTTTGTGGGCCTCAGGGTGGTAGCAAAGTGGTCCTCAAACGGGTACTTCTATTCTGGGATGATTACCCAAGATGTTGGGGCAGGGAAGTACAAGCTGCTCTTCGATGACGGGTATGAATGTGATGTGCTGGGGAAAGATATTTTACTGTGTGACCCCATCCCCCTGGAGACGGAGGTGACTGCGCTCTCGGAGGACGAGTACTTCAGTGCGGGTAAGAGCAGTGCTTGAGCTGTGTCCTGGAGTGCTCTGGGCTTCTGAACGCCGTGGGACGGGGGGGTGAGGGGCCTGGGTGGAGTTGGGTAACGCTGTGACCTGCTGTCTTGTCAGGTGTGGTGAAGGGGCACCGGAAGGAGTCTGGAGAGCTGTACTACTGCATTGAGAAGGAAGGCCAGAGGAAGTGGTACAAACGAATGGCTGTTATCCTGTCCCTGGAGCAAGGAAACAAGCTCCGTGAGCAGTTTGGGCTCGGACCGTACGAACCCGTCACCCCCCTGACCAAAGCAGCCGACATCAGCCTGGGTAAGGGGGGTGCTACTGTGCTGTTCTGCGTCTTGTGCCTTTGAGATGGCTCTAGTTCCTGATCAGAATTGCCCATGCCGAAATCCTTCTGGGCATTCAGCACTGCTTTTGGAACTTTAGAGTGGGGCCTTTGAGATACTTCCTTGCCCTGTGCCTTGCTCAGAGGCTTAGTGCCTTTAACAGGTTTGTGGAGTGGCCGGCTTCTGGGACAGTGATGCCGTAACTCACGTGAACGGCTGCTGTGATACAGCCTCTTCAGCAGCATGGGCAGGACACAGGGCTTGGGGAGGAAGGATACACAACAGAGAGACCTTTTTTTCCTTGCCCTTCCCTGTCGGAGGGGGTGGTGTGTACCTTCTGGGTGCTGTTGTGGTCAGTACGTACGGGTGGGCTGAAAGCTGGCGGAGTTGGGTGACGGCTGTCTCTGCGTGCTGTATTACAGATAATCTTGTGGAGGGGAAACGGAAGCGACGCAGTAACCTTGGTTCTCCCAGCACTTCCAGCAGCAGCACAACTCCCACTCGTAAAGGGCAGGAGAGTCCACGTGTCCCAGCAGGCACACTGTCTGGGAAGAGGAAACTCGTTGCTTCTGAAGATGAGAGATCCCCAGCTAAGCGTGGGCGCAAGGCAGCAGTGACAAAGCCTGGTGAGAGCCTTTGCTGCTCTGGGACTCGCGTTCAGCTATCTTCTTGCCCTCCCTGTGTTTCTGTCGTTGATCCTTCACATCCCAGAAGGAAAAGGCAGATGAGATTGCTTGTTTGCTCTGCAGGATTTGGGACTGCTGCTCCCCAGATGCATTCAGTGGCCAGAGATCTTTTTAGAAGTCTGGGTACTTCCTGGCCGGTGTTCAGTTTTGCCTTTCAGAAACGAGGGGTGTGAGCTGTTCCCGTCCTGTGGAGTCTCCCAGAAACGTGTCTCCGTTAGAGGGAGCCCTGGCAGCCGGGAGCTGTCTCAGGGTGTTGGCAGACGGGCAAACGTCCCATTAGTCAGGTTTTGATCTGAAGATTCTTTGTGAGCAGAAGGATAAAGGGTCCTCGCCTACCCATGTGTAATCCTGACCCAACCCCGCCTCCCTCTTCCCTGCAGTACAGCAGCTGAGGTTGAACATACCCAAATCTTGCCCAGGGTCTTAGCGCTGAACCTGACTCTTGAGCCTCATCGCGCGTCTGTCTCTCCGCAGGGGCTGCGAGAGCTGGAGAGTTCGTAAACCCCTGTGAAGCTGCAGATGCTGTCGATCCCCCGCTGCTGGAAGACCAGCATGGACCCTTGCCCCATAATAAGACCCTCTTTTTGGGCTATGCCTTTCTCCTCACCATGGCAACACCCAGTGACAAATCGGCCAACCACCAGAAGCCATCAGACGGTCCCACGGGGAGCAGTGAGGAAGAAGAAGGTGAGGCAGATCCTACCCACAGCGTTTTCTAGTGGGATGCTGTGGCTTTAGGAAAACGGCTGGATGCTGTCTGACCAGGCCAGGGGCTTGTTTTACCCTTTTGCTCTTCAGTCCTTTCCAGAAAGGACCTAAGGCTCAGCCTTTGTTTTAGAGACTATAGCCTGAGACGTGGCCGGCCTCGTGGCAGTGTCGTGAGCGGGAAGGTTGTGGGAGCTAAGGGAGGGGCAGTGCTGGGAGACACGGGGCCTGAGGGCGTGAGCGGGTGCACCGCATCGCCTTTGCTAGGGCCGTGGTGAAGCCCGAAGGAAGGGACAAGGGGCTTGCTCGGCTGGTTTGGCCAGTGCCATGCTCCCCTTCCTGCTGCCTTGGGTTTATCTTTTCCAAGGGTTCTCTTGAGGTGTGCTTGGGAAAAAGGCTGGAGTTCCTTACTGGAATGGATGAGGGCTCTGTAGGCTGAGGAGCATCTGGATGTAAGCAGATGTATTATAGCCAAAAATGGAACTTCCTGTTTCTGCTGTAGAATTCGTAGAGATGGCTCCGTATGACAAACGTTACGTAGCCCAGCAGCTGCGGGCAGGAGCTGGCTACATCCTGGAAGACTTCAATGAAACCCAGGTAAGGACCCACTCGCTGATGCAGAACGGTAATCACAGTGTAGCTGAGGTTGGAAGGAATTTCTGCCGCTCACCTTGTCCAACCCCCCGCTGAAAGCAAAAATGGCCCGAACAAAGCAGATTGCTCCGGTCCTTCTCCACTTGGGTTTCGAGTATCCCCAAGGATGGAAACTCCACAGCCTCCCTTGGCAACTTGGTAGCCTTTTAGTGGAGAACACTAAGTGGAGTCTGGCTCCATCTCGCTTACGCCATCCTGTCAGTCAGGAATACGCACTGGTAGGACCCTCCAGGGCTGCCCTTCCCGAGCGTCAGCAAGCTCAGCTCTCCCCGCCTGTTGTACGTCAGGCTCCAGTGCTGCCGTGTCTTGGGAGCCCTTGGCTGGGCCATCCAGTACGTCCCTGGTTCTGCTGGACTGTGGAACCCAGGAGGGGACGTGGGCTCACCACAGCGCTCTGCCTCGGAACACACAGCGGCAGCAATCTTGCCTGCGCCGCATCCTGTCTAGTGCCTGAGGCTCAGAATGGAGATGGATCTGCTTCCTGGGGGCTGGAGTTGCTATCCACCTGCTGCACCTGTGACTGCTGTAGGTGCCCCTGGTTTCCCGATCTCTCTCACTCACCTTTCGCATAATTGGGCCGTGACAGCCGGGGGTTCCATTTTCTCTTCTTGGAAGTGCTCAGCAGCAGGATGACTTGGGCTTTGGCTGGGTTTTTTGAAAGCTCAGTCCCCTGGAAGGTGGTCTTTCTGTCTCCCCTGCAGTGCAGTGCAGCCTACGAGTGTCTCTTAATTGCGGACCAGCACTGTCGAACTCGGAAATACCTGCTGTGCCTTGCCAGGGGGATCCCTTGTGTGTCTCACATCTGGGTCCACGACAGCTGTCACGCTAACCAGCTTCAGAATTACCGGAATTACCTTTTGCCAGCTGGTTACAGCCTCCAGGAGCAAAAACTGCTGGAATGGTAGGTGCCAAATGACCTGAGCCCTCATGCCGAGGATTTAATCCCAGAGGGTTGTTACACCTGGGAGGCTCCTGACTACCACAGATACTGCTCCTCCTGCTTCCTCTTCCCTAGAGGAGCAGCACTTCCAACTCTTCCCTTGGATTTACAGTGGCCTCTAATGCCAAGGTACAGAGGCACCGTGCACACAAAATCCCCTGGGAAGTGAGGAAGAGGGCAGCCTCCTCACGGGGAAGACGGAATTCAGACAAGGCTTCCTGCACTTGGCTGACGCCCCTGATAGCTCAGAAACGGTCAGAGAGCGCAGCGCTACTGCCGTTTCCTCCTCACTGCGCATGGTTAAACCAGCTGCTGCGTTTTCTGTGGAGTCTAACCCAGTGGGTCTGCTCTGGGAGCCAGACTCCCCAGGCTGCAGGGAGGGGCAGACAAGAGCCATCTGTAAATCTCGGGGTGGGAGGCTGCCCCCTGCCTGCTCGGCCCTGTCCGAGTGGGGGCACTGGGATCACACACAGAAAAGGTGGTTCGGGATGAGGAGGAACTTAGCCTAACCCTGGATTTGGGCTGCTGTGCGCACCCCACCAACGTTTAGCTGTTTTACTGCCTACAAACAGAGGCTGATTGTGCCAGTTTCAGGAGTGGTGGGAAGGGAGCAGGTCATTGCATGCAGCAGACCAGTGTGGGAGCCACTCGGATGACCAGAAGTCGATAACAGTCCCCAAATCAAGTCTCAGACAACTGGATATTTGCCGTCTGCATTTCGATTTGTTATTTTACAGGCACCCGCGAGAAAACCCGTTCCATAATCTGAAGGTTCTCCTGGTGTCAGACCAACAGCAGAGCTTCCTGGATCTGTGGTCTGAAATCCTGATGACAGGGGGAGCAGCATCCGTGAAGCAGCATCACTCGAGTGCTCAGAACAAAGGTACTCCCAGGCGTTTCTCAGGCCTCGTATTCGGGAATCCCGTGCTGCTGTGGCCCCCGAGGTTCAAAACCATCCAGGATGGCTGAGGAGGAGTCTGGGCACAGGAAGGCCAAGTGCTGACACTTGTGCTCTGCTGGAGACTGGCCTTGCAGGGGAGATGCTGCACCAGTCCAGGGGCCAAGCCTCTGCTTCCAGCCTGCACTGAGGGGGAAGTGCGTAGGCGTTGCTCCTGGGCTTCCTGCAGGCCACTAAAACGGCGCTTCCTTGTCCTCGCGCACTCGTCTCCCTCTCCACCCGGGATGTGCGCGGGCCGCCGCCCCCCCCTAGCCCTGCCGTAAGGCTGCGGCGGCGGCAACTCCCTGCGGACAAGGGGGGGCAGAGTTGCTGCAGGGGGGTCTCGGCTTACAAAGAGAATTCGCTGCTGCAGGAGCCCCGCGGTGAAACGCTGATGTGCGGCTGCAGGGAGGCTCCTTTCTCTCGCCTGACGGACGCCTGTCTCCCCTCCCGTGCAGGTATCGCTCTGGGCGTTCATGACGTGGTGGTGACCGACTCTTCCTGCCCGGCCGCTGTCCTGAAGTGCGCAGAAGCCTT